TTAGAAGGCAAAGCAAAGTACTATAACAAAATGTGCAAAGACAAACCGAAAAAGAAAGAACATGCTTAGAATATATCAAGCTGAAAGAATTGAAGAACAAATTCAAGCCTTGAGGTACAATACTGAAGGATTCTATGGGAAGAATACTGAATGATTCTGGAAGCATCAAAAGCTGGAAGGAATTTAAAAAGGATGGCTGCCAAAGGAACAAAACAACTGATCTAAGCACAAGTGCAACCAACATACTCCTTAGAGGAAGGGCAGTGAAAATTTGTTCATACACTTTGGCATGTTATCAAAAGGGGGTCAGTCTTTGGGAAAGAACAGCATGCTTGGAAAAGTAGAGGGCCAGGGAAGGAAAGAAGACCTTTAATGAGAGATTAACACAGTAATCATGACAATGGGCTTCAGCATGGCAGAGACTGTGAGGATGATGGAGGATTTGACAAGGTCTCAATCTGTTGTGCATAGAGTAACTATGAGTCAGAGTCATCCTGACAGCATTTAGCAACAACACATATACATGTGGCCATAAATATTATTGGAGACCATCACCATTAATAAAGCATCATCTGTAAGCTGTGCTGCAATCCCGAAATAATGTGATTCAAAGCCAACAGTTGCTCCATGGAAGAAGGATAGTCAATCTCCTCCCGTGTAAGTAACTGATTCTGAAAACCTGCTGGATGGTCAGCTATGGGTTGGTTCCAATTCTATGGTACACAACAACAACAACATAACAGGATAACAGAAAGATGGAAGAGAGAAGGGGTCAATAGGTATCAAATCAAAGCTAAGATGTAGAGAGTTAGCCCATAGCCTGTGATGGCAGAAACGTAACTTGTTCCCATAGAGCCAGGTACAATAGACTACCAGGAAGATTTTCCCTTGAGTAATTAGGGGATACAAGAAAAAATGAAACTCTAAGTTTCCCTGCCTCCAGGTCTTTCCATGCTCTATCCCTTCCAGCTGGGTCTCTTCTCACAAGCCTTATCTGATCTCTCCAGAAAAGTTCATGATTACATGTTCTTATCACACTCTGTATTTCTCCCTGGAAGTTTTGTGTCCAGTATTTGTCAGTATGTCAAGTCCTGATGGTCTTGATAGATTTTTCTTATAAACTCCATGAGTGAAAGGATGATTTTTTTTGTATGTGTTTAATACTGAATCCTTAGCACGTATCATGGAACTAATATAAACATTTATTAATTGGAGCTCTAGTGGCTTAGTGATTGTGCTGTCAACTCAAAAGTTCACAGTTCAGGGGGCTCTGGTGGCCTAGTGGCAAGAAGCGGCACTGCAAGCCCAGAGGTACAAGGTTCGTGTCCACCAGATGCTCTGCTGGAGAAGGAGGGGCAATCTCCTCCTGTACCAGTCAGATCTGATTTGATGGTACATGCACAAAAAATAATAAAATAAAAAAAAATTTTTTAAAAAGTTCACAGTTCAAATCTACCAGCTGATTCACAGGGGACAGATAGGCAATATCCAACAGTCTATGTGATTTACTGCCTCTGAAAACCCACTAGAGGGCCAACTATGGGTCAGTTCTGACTCAATAGTTGTTATTCTTGTGAACTGTCATGTCAGAACCAACTAGTAGGTGACCCTGTAGAGGGTTTTCAGAGGTAGTAAACTGCACACAAGACTGCCCATCTTTCTGGCTCAGAGCTGCTGGTGGCTTCGAAGTGCATACCTTTGAGTTGCCAGGAAAACTCCTTACTGCAATGCCACCAGAGCTGCCTGACTTGATGTTACACACAGAATATAAATATTTTCTGTTGTTGTTAAGTACATAGCTGACTCTCCAGTGGGTCACACAGGAAAAGATTGTGCAACCTTCTTCTTCAGTGCAGCTGGTGGATTCAAACTGCTTGCCTTTGTGATTGTAGCACAACGTCTTACCTCTAGGCCATCAGAGCTCCCTATGTAAATATTAGTACTAGTAAATGTCTGTGGAAGGAAATAGGACGGAAGGGAAGGAGAGGGAATGAGGAAGATTAAAGGAACATACTTTTATCACTTAAAAGGAACAAAAAACTCATAGAAAAGCTTCTCTAAGAAAGAAGACAGATCAAAGCCAACACAGCATGCACTAAATTGTTGCATCTATCTCCTTAGCTGAGGATCTGAGCACCAAAACAAGTCACCAAGGAATAACAGCACCTTAAGAGAGTGAGTGCCAAGTCATGAGCCCACATGGTTTGCAGATGTCATTAAAATTGGTATTCTGTGTCCTTCGTGATCTTCTGGACAACAGGACATTTCCTCTGACGTACAGACTTGGACAGCTGGTTGCGAACTCGGGAGCTTGTGGGCATGTGGGCATGCTCTGAATACCACATGAGAGAAACTTCACCAACAGAAAGCACAGCTGAAGCCTGTGATAGACTTTGGCCAAGTCACATCACCCTTCAGAGTCTTAAAGGGGATTATTGTTGTGTTGTTGTTGTTGTTGTCGTCATGTACCTTCAAGTTGGAAGCAACTCAATAGTTTTGAAAACCCCACTGAGTTTTCAAAGACAGTGAATTACAAGGTAGGTGATTACCCATCTTTCTCCCATAGAGAAGCTGGTGGATTCAAACCATGTGCTTTGGAGTTAGCAGCACAACTCCTTACCACTAAGCCACCAGAGCTGGTTGCCCTTATTAAAATAAACCAAAATGATTTCTGAGAGCTAAGCAAAGAACTCCAAAGGAGTCTCCGCAAAGACCCCCACTTGCTGGTTTACGCTTGAAGTGTTTGCTTTTCTCACTGTAACTAGTTAAAGATTTTCTCCTTTATAACTAGAACCTAATCATAGACTGCTGCCCACCTTCAACTTTGCTGAAATAGGCCAACACTGAAATTTAACAAAATAACTATAAAAGTAAAACCCCTACTCTAAACCTTGAAAAAGCAAGAAAAAATGACATCAAAATTGTCTCATTTCAGTCTCAGATGTTTGATGTCAAATATACTTGAAAAAGTCACATTGAGGAAGGAATTTCTTCACTCCGCTCCACAAAGAATGGACTTATACAGGCTCATAATAAATTTACTGTGTTAATATGGGAACAACATGCTTACAGCAAACCAGAAGTGGCTGCTTTCCACATGCCCTAATTCTTGTCTTGACAAAGGAAAAAATACCATTACAGATCTTGTGAATAGTAATTTGCCTCTACTGTTCTTATCTTAAGCATAAAATTGCGAATGGCAAGCATTTGGGTAATAGTCATAATGACATTCCTCTTTGAATTTACACTTGAATGCAAAGTTTGTTTACAAACAGCTGCATTTGCACTGTAAATGAAATGTCTCCTAACAAAACCTCATATAGCTTGCTCATGCCAGAATGCAAATAAAACATTATGTGTTTGTGTGTATATAAATGTGGAATATTCAAATTAATACATGATGGTTTTATTAATATTAGTAGTAATTGCAGTATCATCCCAGCATAATCACTTGGTTTTCTAGTCTGGTGGCCCAGTGTTTAAGCTCTAAGCACCTAACCAAAAAATTGGAGGTTCAAACTTCCCAGCTTCTCTGTGGAAGAAAGATGTAGCAATCTGCTTCTGTAGAGATTATAGCCATGAAAGGCCTGTGGGACTGGTCTACGGTCATCATTTCAGGGTTGGTATGAGCCAATAACAACTCAACGGCAATGCATTTGGTTCTTCTCGTTTTGTCTATCAGTCTTAGCTGAGGTTTGCTTGTTTGTTTTGTTTTGTTTCTAATTACTTGTTACCTTTTCTACCACATTCTTCTGGCCTCAAGAAAGATAAAACCAAGAAGAGGGAGAAAATTGAAGACAAAGATTGTTAAGTGCTTTGCTTCCTTTCTGCAGACCCTGCTCAAGTCTAATCAGATGAAGATGCATATCATTCCGAGGTTCAGATCCACATATAAGCCCAACCATACAAGAACCCAGCATTCCCTACCAAGTGCACAGTGCAGAGCCCACGATGTTGGCTCTGCAGACACAGGTCAGTGGCTGACACTCATGTCCAGGCTGATTCAGCACACACTGATCCTGACAAAGACCATTCTGCAATGTCTAATTGTTAGCCTTCTTCAGAAAAGGATGTGTACACCAAATCCTCGGGGACACAAGTGTGGGCATCACTCTTCTTTATTGTGTGTCTCCCTAGATTTACAACAGTGGTCTACTTGGTCAAGAAGAATCTCAATGGGACAACCAGTAGTGGGGAAAATGGAAAAGCGCTATTTCCTCTACACAGGTGACTATGTCTAGAATGAGCATGCCATGCACTCGCTTCATGCACAATCCCCAGAACTACTGGAGGCACTTTCTAGATACCCTGGCAGGGAACACGGGGTTAGAGGGAAAGCTTCCATTTCTGGCATGATTCATTGTACATGTTTGGCACCTAGCAGATGCTTCATACACATGAGAGAAAAAATTTGATATTTTCACTTCACTAGAAGCATCCAGAGACTCACAGAGATAACACTGAGGCTTATTCATGTCACGGGAGTTCTGGTAACCTAGTCCATAGGGAATCGTGTGTGCACCCCTGTCGAGTGGTTCTAACTCACCAGTGGCTTGGCAGGAGAAAGATTGGAAAGCTCTTTCCATGTTATTTACAGTCTCTCAAAAATCCACTGGAGAGTCAACTCTGAGTCAGATCCAACTGGACACCAGTAAGTGAGTGGGGCCATGTCACTGTGTGTGTGTGTGTGTGTGTGTGTGTGTGTGTGTGTGTGTGTGTGTGTAAGAATAATAGACTAAGGCTTTAGAAAAACTCACCCCACACCTCCCAACAGCAAGTACAAACACAATCCGTTTTACCAACCAACAAGATACCTCGTGACCTGTCTTTCTCTTGGAAAGTGCTCAGAAATAAGAAGCACGCTCATACTTAGAAAAATCAGTTTTGATTTGCTACATCCTTCCCTCAATGGAAGGGGACACGGAATAGAAAGGGGCGTGATGGGAAATGAGAATTGTGGGCTGGGGAAGAAATGCCCGGCATTGGTGGAGCTAGCTTACCGGCCGGCGAGCAGCAAGGACAGTCGGTTGATGGGTGTCTCGCCCTCCACAGCATAGTTCTGCTCAGTAGCCAGCGCCAAGACCTGCTTCTCACAGCAGTGAATAATCTCCTTGTACGACTGCAAGGGCACTTGCAGGGGCAGGCACAGAGTCTTGTAGAGGAGGTCGAAGTCCTTGGGGAGAGTGTCCTCTCGCAGGCGGTACACCAGGTGTGCCAGCTGGAGCAGGCAGGCCACCGCCAGCAGGGAGCTCCCAAGGACGATGTCCAGACCACAGGCCTTGAACCAGCCCCACAGCGCGTAGCAAACATAGCCCGTGCCCAGGAATCCAAAGAGGTAGAAGCAGCCATACACCCCACTGCCCCCCATGAAGCCCAGGAGCAAGATGCAGTTGGCCAGGTGGTAGAGGGGCTCTTCCATATCCTGCCTCCAGCCAGCACACACTGGCCTCTGCAAGAGGAGCTGGCCCACCGTACTGCTGTTGCCACTCATCTTTAGGGCACCTCGGAGGCTTGCTGAGCTCTGAAGCTGCCTTCACAGAGGAGGACACTCAGAAAAAGTGTTGTCTGTCTTTTCACCTCCGGCTTCTCCTCACCAACTCCTTTCTCGGGAGGAATGCTTCCTGTGGTTTTGGGAATAAATGACAGAACATAGTACACTTCATCGAGAATTTTAAAGTTTCTCCTTCTCTCTCTTCTGTCTCTCTTTCTTCCTCAGCAAGGCTCTGATTCTCCTCACAGAGCTCTGTCAGGCTTCCTTGGCTCAAGTCTTCTTCAGACAGTCTTCATATTTGGCTCTTAGCAGAAAAATTTAACTTTCCCAAGAAAAGGTAGACCGTGAGACTGAAAGCTTTGGTGGAGCATGCGATGAAATGACCACATCCTGCTCTGTGTTGTCCCTGGGGTGAATGAAGAGAGGCCAGGGCAGGAGGCACACTTGTGTTCCATTTGGAATGTGTCTCTCTTGGCACCGGAAGGAAGGGTGACCCCAGATGGATACCATGTTTGGAATTGGAATCCAAGAGGTACTGCCAGTGAGAAAAAACAGGCCAGGCTCACAGACAGGCTGGCAGAGTACTTAACATACCTCCCAAGGGGACAAGATAAGACCTCAGGACAAGAGAGACAGGCAAGGGAGGGACCAAGGAAAAGAGAGCAAAGCATTTATCAGCTCAGGCAGGACAATGTCCAGAGTTCCCTGCAGACCAGTCCAGAAGGCTCTCTGAGGTAGGAGAGCACATTTAATTGGAAAAATATGAGACACTCAGAAAACAATCCTCACAGTGAAAACTGGAAAATCCCTCTAAAGCCGTTGTTGAGTCACATTGCAAATATCATTAGGGATTTAAGTAACACCCATTAAACAAAAGCACTTGTGCAAAAAGCAACTCTTTGTCTCTAAGCTGATTTTCCCCTGCACATGGCTGTTTCTGTTGTGTTGTTGTTAGGTGCCCTTGAGTGAATCCGATTTATATGACGGAGTACAGCTGCCCAAAGGCTTTTCTGAGCGATGGTTCTCCCTGAAAGGGTTCCAACTGCCAGTCTCTCAGATAGTCCCTGAGTTCCTAACCATTGTGCAACCAGGACACCTTAACACTGGATCTACTGATAGTTATTACAATGGAGATTGATTACCCAGATGATCACCCAACCCACTCTATTTCTAAATTATAGATACCATATATAAAGACCTATTAAATAGATAGCTCTAGCCCTGCCAAACCAAATGCCATGAGTTCAAATCCACGAACAGCTCCCTTGAAAGGAAGGTAAAGCAGTCTTGTCCCACTGAGTTTTACAGCTTTGAAAACCTGATAGAGGGTCACATCAAGAGTATGAAATAAAAAAAAAAAAGAGTATGAAATAATAATGAGAAATATATCTATTGTGCTTCTACTTGCATGTTTGTTTGGGGTTTTTTTAATGGTGAATTAGCATATTTGTTGATAAAATGGGTGTCCTATTTTGACATACACTTTTCTTGCAATAAAATTTAATTGAACTCACTGTCATAGAGTCGATTACAACTGATAGAGATGCCCTCATTGGATTTCCATGGCTGTAAATCTTAGCAGAAGGAGACTGTCTATCTTTTCTGGCAGGGCCACTGGTGGATTTGAACTGCTGGAGACACTCATCATTTTGGTGGGCAGTGCAGCACGCTATGGACTCTGCCACCAAAGCTCATTTCCCCTCCTTGCTATGTCTGGTTAAAATGAACCTGAGACTAGAAATTTTCAAATACACTCCATTTTCAAATCTATTTAGCAAATATTATTGAATACTTATTATTAGGTAAAAAGGGGAGTCCTGGTGGCCTGGTGGCAAGACGTTGTGCTGCAACTCCAAAGGCCAACAGTTTGAAACCACTGGCTGCCCCATGGGAGAAGGACGGGCAGTCCCTGCCCGTGTGATTTACTGCCTGTGAAAACCACAGCTAAGTCAGTTTCTGAGTTAGCTATGAATTAGTTTTGAGTTGAGAGTACATAACAGCAACAATAACATATTATTATTAGGCAAGCACTTGGGAATCAGAGATACAATAGTCCATGCCGTTGAGGAGCTCTCATTCTATTGAGGGGAAGACAGCCAGCAAATGACAATTGAGTGGGAAGTACACTAATTGAGTTACACTTAAATAAAAAGTTAATGCCATTCTAGAAGGAGGGGAGGAAACAGGGAGGGAAAATGTAAGAAGAGCTAATATTTTTATTAATATGTTTATCATTCACATGTTTTGTGTTTCATACAGGACATTGTGTTTTATAAAGTCTTTCATTTACAATGTATCTTGTTCAGCTATATTATGGGGGGTTTCTCCCCTTAAAATAATCTTTTTGACTAACAACTACTTTGGTGAAAGTGTGTAAGCCAGCTACTTCATGCCTCCTGCCCTGTTATCCCCCTTTTAGATAGCTAATGTCTGATTTACCCATCCCTAACAAACAAGTTCTCTGAGGGAACGGGTAAGTCTCTTTTGTTGAAGGATTCTCTGTTCAACTAGGAAACTTTAAACATCTGCATCTATAAGCAAAATCCAGTTCACAGCAAGCCATCCGGTTGCATCAATCGACATTAGCTGACGGCCTGGATCATCTTCTCTTCATCCAGTTGCATTATGGTCAACTCATCCCCAGCCATATGTGATTAGGTTCAAGTGGGCATCAGCTGTAAGCTCAAGAGCCCATACTTCTCCCTGCAGTCCAGACCTGTTGGTCTCCTTACTCAGCCCTAGCCCCCACTTGGGGCTCAATCAACTGAACAATCTAGGGGTCCTCATAACTCCCCACTAAATGAAGCTAATGTTTGATTTGAAGTTTAGAGGTTGAGTTCACCAGCTAGGCAGGAGAAAAGCATTTCTAGTGGTAGGAACAGCAGAAGCACAGGTTCAGAGGGATGAAAATGTATACCATGGGGGCTTCCTGGTAAGGATTTGTGCACCCCATTGAAAGGCAATGTAGTTTGAAACACTAGCTACTCCACAGGAGAAAGATGAATAATTTTCTCTCTTGTGATTTACAAGCCTCTGAAAATACTGGAAGGTGAAAAAAAAAGTTAAAGGATCAACTACAGTACAAAACGATAGTTGAAGAAAGCCAGTATGTTTCTATTTCATTGAAAGCAACTAGTCAACAAATACACACCTTTCCCCTTTCATTCTTTTTCTAATTTTTAAAAAATTTTTAATTAATATTTTATGTGTGTACTGTCAAATTGGATCTGACTGGTACAGGAGGAGATTGTCCCTCCTTCTCCAGCAGAGCAGCTGGTGGATTCAAACTGCTCACCTCTAAGACTGCAGTGCAGCTTCTTGCCACTAGGCCACCAGAGCTTGCCTTTTCTTACATTCTAAAGTTGTTGTTGTTGTTGTTGTGTACCGTCCAAAGGGAACCAACGCATAGCTGACCCTCCAGCAGGTTTTCAATCAAATGGGAGGAGATTGCTGATCCTTTTCCCACAAAGCAGCTGGTGGATTCGAACTGCATGCCTTGGGGATTGCAGCTCAGCTTCTACTAAAGTTAAGGGAGAAGGGAGAAATTCCATCTGGCCTTCACTGTAGGCAATGGTTTGGACATGATGACAGTGGAGTTTGGGTGTCATTTTTATGTAAATAACATACTATCCAGTTGTTATGAGTTACAAGCATCTCGATGGCACATAACATCTAGTGTTTTGCAAACCATATAATTCTCTTTCCAATTATCCTGTTTAGAGCCCATATGCTTGTGCCTATTACTTACGTAGGTGCATTCTCTATTGAAAAATATTATTTCCATATGCTTTTGTTACCTGGCTGACTCTCAACCAGCCCACACACTTTTACAAGCAGCAGCTGTTCAATTTATCAGGAACCGTGTGAATTCCCAGAGAAATTGCCCCTGCCAGCTATGAGCAAGAAAGTCAGAGGCACAGAAACAAAGAAGCAACCAAGGTTTGTCCCAAGCTAAAATTTCAAAGCAGATGATCTCTCCCCGTAAGCCTGCCGAATGGCCTGGCTGACCCTTTACTGTTCACCTACACAGCTGCCCAGGCTGAGTTCAACTTGTCAATCCCTGCATGTGCTGCTCTGAGGAGAAGGTACTAGGAGCTACTAAAAGCTTCATAACAGAACACATCTATTTTTTTAATAGTTTTTTAAAAAGATTTTATTTTATACTGATTTACATATAAAGTTCATATACATTATTTTTCACACCAAACCTTTCGCCTTTCCTTTACCAATCTTTCTCTCTCTCTCTACTCATCAAATTATGAAACCCCACGTTTAAGCCACCCCAACCCTTCGTGGGGACCTATTTTTTTAAATGGAAAAATCAAGTTTAAAAAAAAAATCTGCTCAAGGCCATTGAGTTAATGTGTAATTATTGTTGTTAGGTACTATGGATTCCAAACCAACCCATAGCTGACCCTCCCCTCTGGTGGGTTTTCAGAGGCAGTTGATTCAAACTGCATGCCTTTGAGAGGGACCTCTCCAGAGTACTGAAGAGCAACAATGTCAATCTGGAGACCAAAGATGTGTCTGATCCAAGCCAGGACCTTCACAATTTTACATCAGAAAGCTGGACAATGACTAAGGATGATAGAAAGATAATTGATGTCCTTGAGTTATGGTGCTGGAGAAGAGTACTGAATATACTGTGGACTGCTAGGAGAACAAACAGGTTCATTCTGGAGAGGGTGAGACCAGGCTTCTCATTGGAGGCAAGGATTCTGAAGCTCCATCTGACATACTTTGGATATGTTGCAAAGAGAAACCAGTCCTTCGAAGAGGACATCATGCTTGGAAAGACGGAGGGATAGCACAGGAAGGGAAGACCCTCTAAGAGATGGATTGACTCAATGACTCTGGTAATGGAAGTACGTGTGTCAGAGACAATGAGGTTAACTCTGGATAGAACAGGGTTCAGAGCTATTTTACACAGGGTCGCTATGAGTTGCAAGCGACTCTACAGCACATAACAACAACACCAACCCATAGCTGACCCTTCAGTA